ATTCTAGTTACCATAAATATCTAATAAAGGAGTTACGGAAAAGCTATTAACAATCTTGGAAAAAAAAAGAATTATAAGCTTAACTAACCCGTATTCTGAGATTTTTGAGATTTCATCAAACTTTTTTGTGAACCGATCTTGTCAACAAAAAGTTTCATAATAATAAAATTTAACGTTAATCAAGATTTTAAATAAAGGTATTAATTTAATTGGTACATTTTTCTATTCATAGTAAGATTATGTTTCTTTTTCTTTGTTTTTTTGACCGGTCATCAACTTCCTAAAAAAGAAATCTGTATTTGCTTAATAGTTACCCCAGATATTCTAAATGTTACGACGAATAAAGCATGAAAATGATTAACGAGATAAACAGCACATGAAAGTAAACTTTAGTAAGTTTTATTTATGTATGTCATGGGGTATGACAAATATTATTAACGAAAATTTTAATGTAAATATTAGTCAATTTCTTTTATTTTTTTCGGAACAAGAATTTTACGTACGTTACGTACGTATTTCTTTCAAAGTTCTAAATTTATATAATAAAGAATTTACATATACATAGTTATAATACATATCGATATATAACTATATACATACATAGTTAAATCAGATATTTTATCTACGTATTTATCTTACAAAATCAATTAAATGAAACCATTAAATGAAACCATTAATTAAGCTAGCATTTTCTAGAGAGATTGAGAATCGGAGTTTTTTGCATAGACTCGGATATTCCCAAATCTGAGATGACAAATATGGAAAAGATAAACAATTTACATAAGGCTGAATCAAAAACTTTGCCGCCAATTTTTTTTTTACACAAAATATAAAATATAACAATATTACATGACTGGTTAAAATGGATCGAAATAATAATTTATTGCCTGTCCTTCAACTTTTGGCGCAATTAATAAAATTAAAAGTATGGTAATAACGTTCTCGTGAAAATGCATTTTCATACACATAGTTTTGTTATATGTACCAAAAGTCAAAGCGCAACTTTTTAATAAAATTTTAATATGTTAACAGTATATCGGTACCGGTACATACGTATACGTACCGAGTGCATACATACAGAAATATTCATTCATGATCTCACTTTCTGCGAATTTATGTGATGGCGCAACACGTATTCTATATAAATGCAAAACCAATACAACGAATGCAAATGCAAATGAATGCCAATGAATTTTTGTGAATGTTAGTTGTGTTAACTATAATTTTGTGTTAACTATAATTTAGGTTAAACCACTGAATTTTAGAGAAACAATCATTCGGTACGTACATCAACTATGCGTTGTAACGTTTTCCAAAACCGGATCGGACCGCTATCATCCCGAAGAGACATCGGTTCAGAATTATCGTTATGATTAAAGAATTATTTTTATCAAGAAAGAATTATTTTTTATCAAGAATTATTTTCTTTGGTAAAAACATCAAAGATTCATTAATATTACATATGGAAATTTTATAAACTTAGAGTTAGGTTTGTAAACTTTAGTCATATAAAGTAACTTTGACGACTTTGATTCAATAATACGTATACATTATAATTGATATGCGTAAATATATTACATATCTATCTATAAATATTAATCTACATATATTTGTACATGGTTTTTTTTTAAAAAAGCGACATACACGAACTTTGGGAACGAGGGCGAACGGACGATGCCTTTTCTAACGTGCATTATATAACGTACTACGACAGTTGCAAATTACCAACTTGGCTAACCAGACTCAACTCGGTAAACGTTTTGGTACACTGCATTTTTTTTAAAGAAAACCAAATCCAAATTTGAAGTTTGTAAACAAAGAAAATATTTGAAATCTAAGAAAGCATGAGGAATGAGAGAAAAAAAAAAAACTCTATTAAGGAATAAAAAAAATCCTTTTATTAATAATTACTTTGAAAATTATTACTTTGAAATTTTTTTGTATTTTCATTTTGATTTTTTTTTTTTTTTTTTATATATATATTACTTAATAGAAATTAGCGAGCAGAAATTACTATTTACTTTAAGATGAACTTTGTACAGAGCAGGAAAAAAAAAAATAATAAATCATGACTTCTACATTAAAAGAAAAAATGCTCGCGAAATCTGTAACTGTAAAAAAAAAAAAAAAAGACATGTACTAAAGATCATTGACCATAAGAAAAAACAAATAAATAGTATTAATGTGGGAACGGGAGAGTAAAGACGCGTCGCACCAAAAAAACGACTAATCAAAGAAATCAAAAGAAAGAAAATATTATATTTACAGAAATGTTAATAGTATAGCTTAGGAAAAGTTCATAGTAAAGACAAGCTTTGTTTATACTATACGATTAAAAAGTGAGTATATATATATATATATATATATGAATATTACTAAGAAAGGACTTTCTTCCACTAATAAATGACAAATAGTATGTATAAGTCATTTAATAGCTGGTCGTCGGATGGGAAGATGTTGAATTTTGGCGACGACACGATTGAGTAGAATGAGATCGTGATTTCTTAGACTTGTGGGTTGGTTTATAATCTGTTATTATGTTGAGCTGCGATTGGTCTTGATCTGAAGTTTTCTTATTAAAAATATAATAAAGAGACTTGTGATGTTGTGGTACGAGGATGAGATGAGCTCCCGGTGCAATATTATTATTACTGTTAAGAAAGTGTTAAGAAAGCGTTAAAAAAAGAAAGTGTTGAGAAAATGTTTAAATAAATAAACCAAAAATTAAAAAAAAAATTTTTTTCTTTTACAAACCTCGAACTGCCACCACAGAACGATATGAACAAAGCCAAAAAGAAAAGAACCAAATTTTCAATTATATTATTAGCAGCATTTGTTATAATTGGCATAATACCAAGATCTTTGGTATTTGTAACGGACAAAAGCGAGAACATATTTGATGTTTGTGGACGTGTCATTTTCAATGAATTATATTTGTAAAATTATTTGTAAAATTTATGAGAAGCGTATGGAGGAGATTTTTTTTTTTTTCCAAAGGAACGAAGCAAACTTCTAACTATATATATATATGTGTGTAATAATATATATAGTGTAATATTAAAAAAAAAAAATCTTATTCAACCTCCTTTTCAGGATAAATATACGCTTTCAACAAGTCAAAAAGGGACGAACCGTGCAGAAAAAATTTGTGAGAACGACGAAGCGGGAATTAATGGTCTTACGGTCCTTTTATAATTTTGTCAACAAGTTTTACAAAGTTTTATATATCAATATTAATTCATTTATTTATTAACGTAATTACTGTATTAATTAACTGTATTAATAAAATATACGTATAATATTATATATATTATTACGTATTAATAATAATTGTGTGATGATCAAATATTTACTTTAAACTGCATATTTATCATGAAATAGTTGATTTAGACTACTTATGATAAAATATAACAATAATTCGTTATCGATAACCGATAATGCAAATACTAATACGTGTACCAAAAAAAAGTGACACTAGAATTCATTTGTTAAACAAATTTTCTTAACAATTAAAGCGTCATCATGTTTAATGAATAATAATTTCTTCTTATGGATTATTACTTAGAGTAATTACTTAGAGTAATTACTTAGAGTAGAAAACAAATAGTATGTATATACATACATACATACGTACATGTAAGATTACAACGATTAAGCCAAAAGGATAAATCAAGAGAGAATAAATAGGTGTAATTTTTCCGTATAATTATTACTATTATTATACAGCATACTTTCAACTCCGAATCAAAGATACATTCTCCGTTTTAAACGTTTTAAATAAAATTTTTCCATTATGAAACTTCATCAAAGAATCTAACAAATCTAACATGAATCAACTTACCTTTTTTATCACATTTAGTCTGATATGCAATTATTAATCGTACGTATAAAATTTTCATTCGTTTCTTCAGATTTCGAAAATCGGAAATCAAGGTGCTGCGGAAAGTGCATCTTAACTTTTTAGTTGCATCATTTGCTCCCCTTTATTTTAATTGGTACATTGGATAGTGGCAGTGCAATCCTGTCATTCTGTGCCATTCAGTGTCATTCCTACCGGTGTTAACTCTTTGTTTTAAATCTTGTCTGCGTTAAATCCTGTCCGTGTTAAATCCTGTCTGTGTTAAATCTTGTCTGTATGTGCTTTATCGTTATCTATCATCAATCTTATCGATGTTGTAAGTTATCGATATTTATAATTATACAGTATGTAAACATCAGTTATCTTTATTATAATTCGTTCGTTTGTATCCTTCTAATGCAAGACCGGCATGTGGTTAATGATATTTAATGTTACTTCAGACTTAATCATGACCTTGCTTTGAGATAAATTTATAAAATTCCCTTCTTTTAATAATCATCACAATTACCACAATTACCACAATTATCGTTACTGTATTAACTTACTTTTTTGGTTTAATTTTGGATTTTGTATACCGTAATTATGTTTTTATTAAGTTCACATGTTTGGGGTTTTTGTTTTAACTCAAAAATTATTGTCACATTTTCTTAATCGCACCAATAATCGCCAAATTTATCGATTCGTTATTTGATAAAAAACTCTTCCTTATTTACTAAATTTATTTCTATAATTATTAGATTAAGGTGTTACCACGCGATTTTACATGTATCCCGTCGTAATGCCTTTAGGATTTTCAATACACAGTATTTATTATTTGTTTTTCAAAGGTTTCATTTGCCTTCTAAATTTGTCAATTCATGTGAATTTCTTTTTTGCTTTATTTACGTACCGGTGCGTAGCATCATTATGTCGTCCGTATTATTATCGTTATTATGTTGCATATGTAAATACTCATCACTAATCATCATTAATTATTATCACTTTTATAATGTTAAAATTAAGGTTATAGGTTTGAAGTGAATACAAAATTTTTAGTGAAAATTTTCGTGTTTATGTTTCAATTACAGTATTTTAAGAATGATGGGCAACTATAAATTTTTTTAAAAATCAGCCTTACAAAACAGTGTTTTACCGCCCTTCTAAGCCATTGTCAACAAATAATCAATTGGTAAAAAAAAAAAAAAATTTAGATGTCATTTTACAGTATTTTTTACATATTAATTTTTTTTCGATTTTACAGTATATACAATCATCATTATCATCATTTTTAAGGGAAATTCTTTAAAAAATAAAAAATTATTATTAATATTATACTACGTATTCAATGATTACAGGTTCGTGTCACTAATTTTCTTGTGATCATGATTACGTATCGGTATATCGATATGCGCATTTATATAAATGTCGTGTAAATTTTACAAAATTTCATAAACGTGTTCTTATACTATATGATTTTCCGTGATCATTTGAATGGTACGTACAATAATTTATCTTCATGTTCTCCTTACCACCTTAAAAAATTTACATTATTTAAAAAAAAAATGTGGCTGATCTTTTCGCTATCACGTCATTATTTTTAGATATACGCCTCAAATCTTTCCAAAACTCTGGTTACTGGTCTCACAACTGTAAAAAAGAAATGTAACGTAAGTATTGAATGAGATTCCACAATGTAATTTGGATCGACGATAAACAAACAGTAAATATAAACAAAGCCATCTCCAATTTTAGTTTCTTATAACAGTATAAAGGAATATATCTATAACTTCCTTATATATAACTTATATAACGATAATTCTTTGTGAAACTAAAGATTTGGTAATTTAAAACAAACGTGCTAGCGTAAATTTTATATTTCGATGATCGATTTAGTTCAAAATAACGTTCCGAAAATAATACTCACTCATATATTTGTATACCATCGAGAGAAGTCTAGACTTTATAAGAGTAAATCTAGACTTTAGTTTTTTAAGTGTATAGCTTATCGGACTTTGCCCCTGAAAAAAACTCTGCTTGGCGACATATTTATTGATATTAATTACGTATCATTTGTCGATCATATTTTTTTTTGGATAGGTCCGATAAGTTACGAGCTTAAAAAATCCAAAGTTGGCTAATATACATTTTGTGATAGTATGACTCATAAAACTCAGAAAATTGGGTTTATCTCGAAATAAAATATTTTTTCTGCTAATCACCAAAACCGATGTTTTTTTTTTAAAACAGAATAACAAGATATATATATTTAATAAATAGCAAAAGTAATAAAAAATATAAAAAAGAGTCTACATGTGGGCTAGATATTATTAAAAAAGAAATTAAATAAAAAAATTAAGTTTAATTAATTTAAAATTAATTAAAGAATGTTTTTTATTTAAAAATAAAGAAAATAACTACTTGTAATTTTCAATATATATTGTAATTAAAATTTAACACTTTTTAAAAATAATTTTTAATTTTTAATTTTAAAGTTAAATTAAAAATTAAATAAAAGTTTAAAATATTATTAACTTTTTTAAAAATTATTGGTTTAATGATATAAAATTAATTTAATATTAAAATTTTATTTAGTAACAAATATTAACAACTCTTTATAATAATTGTAGCAGATTAAAATAAAATCAAATTAAAATAAAATTTTTCTATTTTTTAAAAAAATTTAAAGAATATTTTTTGGGGTTTTTTAGTATTAGAGTTAGAGTTTAGAGTTATTAATAAAAGAATATATGTAGATTTTATAAGCTTTAAAAATAAGCAAAAGATATTTCTGTTTTATTTTAATCTGCAACAATAATTATTTAAAATAAGTTTTATTAATTACAAATTAAAAGCTTAAAATTTAAATTTTAAAATTATTTTATAATAAATTATTATTCTTTTTAATATTAAGATGAGGCTTTGCTTATATTTTTATTAATAACTTTATTGAGTAATAGTAATCAAAATTATTACCATTTATAAAAATATAAAATTATATTGCAAGAATAAAAACTCAAACTAATTTATCTGTAATCTAAATCTACTAAAGTAGTTAGAAGCTTATCTAAATTGTAATAGATAAAATAAAGTTAAATAATATACTATATTTAGTCTAATAAACAAACCAAATATTATATTTTTTTGTCTAGCTAACAGATAAATAAATATTAGAGTGATATATAGTTGGTTTAGTTTTTTACATATATAGAAATAAGTATAAATTGTATATATATATTTAGTTATAACAGATATATATGATAAATCTTAAAAATCAGGTTGTTGTTATAAACTTGAAGTTATAGTTTGTTACAATAATTTTGAAATATTAGAATATAAATAATTAAGTTAATTTTGTTTTTTCTAATTAAAAAAGTTAATATAATAAAATTTTTATAATTATTTATATAGTTGTTTATTTATTTAGATTTATAATAAAGAAAATAACTATAATTAACTGAAGAAAAAATCATCAGTTTGTGTAATATTAATATATAGATTAGTATTAAATTAAAAAAAATTCTGCTCTTTTAGTTTAGAGTAAATGTTGCAATCTATGATTAAAGTTAGGGCAAAGCATAGGTTATATGCAAAATTTAGCAAAGAATTTTTTTTGTTAGAACCCAAAAGAGGGTTTCATAAGTGAATTTTTGAGATATTCACGATTTTTTAAAAATTTTTTTGTTTTTGTCATATAAAATTAATTTATACATTACATCTGATCCTGCAATTTTATTGGCTAATTATATATCAGTGATTTTCTCTCTGATTAAAATTAGCAATATCCTATAATAAATTATTATTAATAAAATTTTAAAATATAATATATCA